CTTCCTGAGTGGAGAAGGTCCCCTCCGGACAAGGAACGCAGTCATAGCAGCAAACTGGCTCTCCTTCTCGAGCCCTCTTGACAAACCCAGGATGACAACTTTCCACACATTTGGACTGAGGCAGGGACTGAGCAGAAAAACAAGGAATGGCAAAGAAAATGTGTTAGAACTCTCCGTCCATGGAAAATGGAGATAGACATGGACATTAGACAAGTAGCTTCTGGTCTTCATTGAGGTAAATATGAAATTTCTGGCTCATTCCAAACAGATGTAGAAGATATAACTAGTGGCAGATTCTTCATTTATTTCTTCCCTTTTGCTTTTGGCATGTAACATTGCAATAAAGGATTGTTCTACTTAATAAAATCTGGAGAGATGGAACTGAGAAGAGATTTAAGAATTCCATGACAACCAGTGACAACCTCTTCATGGTCTTATAAACACATATTCCTCCCTTCTTCATAGAGCCTCCCAAGCAGTCTCAGGAGACAATCTGGTTTCTATTCCCCAGATTCAGTTCTCAGTGATGGTCAACCACCTTTGGGGACTAGGCTGAGCCCACGTGAAATGGGTCCACAGGTTTTGGGAAATGGAGAAAAGACATTAAAATTTATTTCACCTTGTTGAGCAACCTTAGCTGTGAAAGAGCAACTTCGTTGATAATAAGTCTGTGTCTTTTAAGATACCCCAGAGTCTCCTTCCTGGGATCCTCCTTGGGGAGAACCAACAAGCTGTCAATCAACAGATCTGCTGCTATCTCTCTGTTTGGGTCCAAGTACAGTTTGATCTCAGAAAAATTGAAAAACTCATTTTTCTTCAGAAATGGATGAAACTAGGATCGAAACATTCAGGACTTTTAAAAGCACAAAACTTCATTTCTTATCCCACATTTTAATCTTTCTTCTACACTTTGCCAATTTACACATATGCTTAATTCGGAAAACAAGTATTGCCACTATCTTCATAAGTGAACAAAAACGATTTTAAAAAATCAATCATATACTGTATATATTGAGAAGAATATAATAGACACAATTGGTCTATTATTATTCACATTCTAGAGCAGGTGACACATAAATTGAAGAACAGAAAAACGAGATTATTTTTAAAGTCCTTGCAAGCAACAATTTGACGACCAGAAAGCATGGATTGGTCAAGAACAAAGTTGCCAGGTTGATCTTCTCCCTGGTAATCCAGATGGGAAACACAACTAGATGTGCTAATTCTACTTTATTGTACTGCTAATTTGTAAGTAATGAATGTTTATAATGAATGTTGTAAGTCTGAAAGTGTACATCTCCCACCATCTCTTTTCTTATCCTGAGAAGTGAGGGAGGGGCCTTTCTGAGCTTCAGTTTCTGCCCCTTTATGCAGCTGCAGGATTCCCCCCCCTTCTCTGACCCTTCCCCAGGCAGCATCTCTTCTCCCAAAAGGTTTCCTCACAAACCATTACACTTCCTAAATAGATGATAGGAAAGGTGGTATAAAATGTATGTGATATTTATGTGTCATTCTCACTTATTATTACATTTCTGAAATATATTATGAAAATACTGCTGATATAACTTGATCTCAGGAAATGTAACAAACAATTTTGTGATGTGATTAGAAACCTAGTTAGGTGAGGGGTGGATGGTATGATAAATAGATAAAAACTGTCTTAAAAATGGTACTCAAATAATTTTTAATCTTTTTCATCTTTATCATAACAGTAGGAAGTTATGAAAAACAATTTGTCCTAAGTTATCAATTTTTCTATGTTGTTATTAATAGAGTTGATAAATCTCAGTTATATCAACTCTCAGACAAATATAACTTCATCTTATTTACATATTTCCAAGTTTCCAGAAGAATATTTATGATTTCCTCATAGAAACAACTGCATAAAGGAAAAGCAGTAGAAAAAACCTGAGTTTTAGGATTTGATAAATTATAGTATCTCATATAAGAATTTTAATTCTTATGATGGATAATTCTGGATGAAGGTTGGTGCCAAGCTTGATAAGTATGTAAGGGAGCCAGTTTGGTCTAGTGGTTAAGGCACCGGGCTAGGAAGCAAGAGGCTGTGAGTTCAAGCCCCACCTTTGTCATGGAATCCAGCTGGGTGATTTGGATCCGGTCACTTTCTCAACCCAACTCACCTCACAGGGTTGTTGTGGTGGGGAAAGTGAACACAACTAATTTTTGGTGCTCAGCTGCTTCTCTTTTACTCCTCTGGAAAGGGTGAAAGACAAAAAGGACAGGTACAAAAAATGGAAAGAGGGACACATAACTAAGGCAGAATATCAGCAGATAGCCAGAATCTGCAAAGACAAAGTCAGGAAAGCAAAGGCTCAGAATGAACAAAGACTGGCAATAAAAGTCAAAGATAATTTTTAAAAAGTGTGTGTGTGTGTGTGTGTGTGTGTGTGTGTGTACTGTGTTTCCCCAAAAATAAGTTAGGTTCTTATTTTCTTTTGAACCCTGAACTAAGGGCTTGGCCTTATTATTGGGGGGTCTTATTATTTTGGGAGTGCTCATGGCTGCTACTGTGTTGCGCTGCTGTGCCGGGCAGGGCAACACAGCCACTTGTCAGTTGTTCTCCCGAGGCTATGCCGATGTCATCACGTCCCTGCACCCTGCTCTTTGTCAGCCTGCTCGCAAGAGACCAGCCACCCGGCATCTCTTGCCATGTGGTGCCCACCGGGCAGCCTGCACACTCATAGCCAGGAGTCCAGCAGAGAGAGGCTCCCTCCGCACGCCGCCATCAAGCCCGTCTCTTCCCACAGGGGGTGGTAGAATGCGAGCAGCACGAAGGTGCCAAGCTGCATGAGTCCCTGTCTCCCCTCCCCCCACTTGCACGCCTCCCAGGCCTCACCATGTCGATGTGGGCGAAGCCAGTGAGCACCCAGCTGGAAGCAGAGAAGAGGCCGGTTGGGCCAGCTGCCTGCTGCCAAGGCTTCCAGGAGCCGGGGCAGAGAGTCTTCTGGTAGCTGGGGCAGAGAGGTGGCGAAGGGTGAAGGGAGCCACAGCCCCGCATGGGGAATCTATGCTGCTGCCATCCCAGCACTGAGGATGGCTTCCTCTGCGGCTTCCAAACCCCGGCTAGAAGCCACTGGAAGCAGAGAAGAGGCCAGTTGGGCCAGCCGCCTGCTGCTGAGTCTTCTGGGAGCCAGGGCAGCCCCATGGGAAGTGCACTCCCAGAGTGGCTGCTGCCAGAAGACTCTCTTTGTTGACAGCGGCCGCTCTGGGAATGTGCTTCCCGCTCTATGGTTCCAGTTCCATGCGGCTGCCCCAGCTCCCAGAAGACTCAGCAGCAGGCGGCTGGCCCAACTGGCCTCTTCTCTGCTTCCAGTGGCTTCCAGCCGGGGTTTGGAAGCCACAGAAGAAGCCATCCTCAGTGCTGGGATGGCGGCGGTGTGGACTCCTCAAGGATCTGGTGCTCACTGGCTTCGTCCACATCATGATTCTGGGATACTGCTCGGTTGGTGAGTGGCGGTCTGCCTGGCCAGAGGGGGGGTGTCCACTGGGTGGGCACCACGTGGCAAGAGGTGCTGGGCAGCTGCTCTCTTGCGATTGGGGCGGGAATTTTCAGGCGAGGGGGATGGATGGGAGGCGGGCAAGCACCAAGAACAGTGGGGAGGGATAGAACAGAAAGGCAGCTCCCAATCAGCTCAGCTAATCCGTGGGTCATGATTAAGGGGCCCAGCTGCCATTACATTCTTTGATATACATTAGTAGACCAGTGAAATGCTGTGGACATAGTATATTTAGACTTCAGCAAGGCATTCAACAAGGTAGACCACAACTTCTTGGTAAACTAGAAAAAAGTGGGATAGATAGCATCATCATCAAATGGATTTGTACCTGACTGACAAAACGTACTCAATGAGTATTCCTTAACAGTACTACGTCTACATGGAGGGAAATAAGCAGGTTCCGTCTTAGGTCCAGGACTCTTCAATATCTTCATAAATGACTTAGATGAGGGAATAGAAGGGGATCATATCAAATTTGCAGATGATACTAAGCTGGCAGGAATAGCTAACACCCCTAGATGGTAGGCTCAAGATCCAGATGGATCTTTACAGACTTGAACACTGGGCCCTGTCTAACAAAATGAAATTCAATGTAGAGAAAGGTAAAGTCTTATACGTAGGCAAGAAAAACCAAAAGCACACGTATAGATTGTGAGAAACCAGGTTTAATAACACTAACTGTGAGAGGGATCTTGGAATCTTAGTGGGCAACCAATTACTGCATCCGGTTTTGGTCACCACACTATAAAAAGATGTTGAGACTCTAGAAAAAGTGCAGAGAAGAGCAACCAAGAGGATTAGGGGACTGGAGGCTAAAACACCTAATGAACGGTTGCAGGAAGTGGGCATGACTAGCCTAGTGAAGAGAAGGACCAGGGGAGACATGATAGCAGTGTTCCAATATTTGAGGGGCTGCCACCAAGAGGAAGGGGTCAAGCTATTTTCCAAAGCACCCAAAGCACCAGAGAAGGAATAATGGATGGAAACTAAAGGAGGAGAGATTCAATCTGGAAATAAGGAGAAATTTTCTGACAATGAGATCAATCAACCAATGGAACAGAAGTTGCCTTCGGAAGTTGTGGGAGCTTCATCACTGGAAGCTTTCCAGAAGAGACTGGACTGCCCTCTGTCAGAAATGGTGTAGGGTCTCCTGCTTGGGCAGGGTGGGGGGTTGGACTAAGTGACCTACAAAGTACCTTCCAAATCTGTTATTCTGAAATTCTGAACAAGATTGGGTTGCTCTTCCCAAGAATGTTTATTTGAGCAGCCAAACTCCCCCTTTTAAAGCAGTGAGATATTTATATCAAATAACCATGCCAAAAATCCAAAGGACATTAAACAGTGTGCTGCAATGGAGTTCCCACAGCAGTCTTAGAGGGCCGATACAAGGAAATAGCACATGAGCTGAGACTGGGTCCCTGTGGACAAGGGGCCACTGGAACTGCAGCTCATGGCCTCCTCCTAGGCTGCATCTTCTATCAGGACTCACGGACTCACCTCTCCTAATCAAATATCCAGGAAATACTGACCTCTTTTACATGCAACTACTGTTATCAGATTCTCTGAATGGGGCCAAATTCTGTTATGCTGTATGCAAAATTAGGCAGGCTCTAACTGCCTATTGACTTTCTTTATTGTTATTTTTCTCTATTATTACATAGAACATAGAATAACTTTATTGTCACTTTAAATGTACATCAGCATACTGTATATTAAAATGAAATTTCACTGAATCTCAAAGGGTCACCACCTCCAATATATCTTATTTTTATTTTTCTCTATTTTTACTGTTTTTAATGTTTCTGTTTGCAATGCTGGTCTATGACTGTGATAAAAATTGATTGATTGAAGGAGGAAACTGTGTTGGATACATTTGCCATGAGATATTCAAAATTTAAAAAAAAAACATATTAATGAATATGATCCCAAAATTGTATTAGACAGCAAATGGAAAGTGAGTCTTCAGGGAAGACAAGGAGGAGATTTTGAGAGCAGATTCTCCAACTTACAAAATCTCCCAGTTGGACAAGGGAGGAGACAACACTCTTCCAACAACTGAAAGAGGTTAGGCAGAAACTTAAGATCTGCTCCTTGTTATTCCAGAGTGTCAGACATGAGCAATTAGTTGGTCCAAATCAGTTGACCTTTTGCAGCATAAAAAGGTTGAGATGGTTCCCCTCCTTTTCCTCTGGATTCCTTCTCCAAAAGATCTAAGATTAATGGATCCATATCGGGATCCCATACCTGCCAAGGCTGCAGCCTTGGAGACCCCGACATCTTTTCACTCTCCTTCCTGCCCCTCCTCTTTCTGGAGGAATATGCTGCATTCAAGGCCTGGGCCAGAGTCTTCATGAGACTATAATCATAGTAGTCACTTGTGATCCGGATCCTGTTCCTTTTCTCCTGGGTCTCCAGTGGGGCTTTCTGGGTGCATCTTCTCCTGCCTTTGACAGAAAAGATGTTCTTTGAAAGAGAACAGCGAAAATACTGATCTTGAAACTGATTTTCTACAAAGAAATAGGGTTCAAAGGCATCATCATTTGGCCTTACATTTTTTCCAATCCTAAAGTTCCAAATACTATGGATGTATTTGAGAAGTTGGCTCTTCTTTATTTTATACACTAAAATACTTGTGAAGATCCAGACTTTCCCTTCAAAAGTTCCTGGCAAATTCTTAAGTGTTTCATGGAAAGCAAGGATTCTGTCGAAAGGGGAAACAAATTCCATGAAGTGAACAAAGACATTGACTTGTCTCCACTCAGAGAGGGCATCCCTGAGGGGGGCTGTATGTCCAGTTGTTGAAAATCGTTGTGATATAACAGCACAAATTCCACTCCTGACAAGCATAGGAGTGAAAATCCTCATGAAATTCTCTCCATTCTCTGTGTCTGAAGCAAAGAGGCCAATGAAGGTCCATCTGAAATGGAGGAGCATTTGGACAATTGCTGGGTAGTGGAATCCTTCTTTGGGGAACATCTGGTGGAAAAAGGGGAATTGACTTTTATCAGTCAGAACCTCTGAGGCAATTTTAGTACTGATCTAAAAAAGTAATGAAGAATGCTGTGTTATAATCTGGGTCAGATCAACTCCAAAATACTAGATATTGACAAATCCAACTTTGTTCTGATGAACGTATTAGAATAGTTTATTCCTTAGTCATTGTTTAAAATATTTAAAACAATATTAACAAGATTGTATATAAAAATGGAAAGAAAAAAGCAAATTAAGTAAAAAAAAACCCAATAATGTATCATTCCTACAATTTACTGCAATTAGATTCAAATTTGCAAATGTCAGATAAAGTGTTTTGATCTAATGCAGGGTGGTATTATAAGTTATTTTTGAGGACTGAAACCTCTTTCTCTGCTTCTATATCACAGATTCCTTGTGGAACCATTTTTTCAGCTTCTCCAGTTGTACAAGAAACAGGGATACTTCAGTTCCTAATACGATTTGTCAGTTGTGTAATCCAAGGTTGGTCTTTAATTTAAATTTTGTCTGTTTTAACAGACACAATTTTGGGAGTCGGCCAGTTTCAATAACTTTAATTTTAAACCAATATTTATACATCCTGAATTAATACAAAGCAGAAATTGTGTAAATCCACAATTCATCTCTCAGGGGCAGAAACTGAAATTCTTTTATCCACCCCAAAGATTCTCCTCCGATGCTGTGATTGGGTTTTTCCAGTAGTGGCATTCGTTAAATGCCAAATATCAGTTTGATATAAGAATTCATGGGTTAAATTGGCCTTACATTCTTTAATAATTGGGGATAAAGGAAGCTAGAGAGTTATGATTTCTTTTTAAGCACTAGATTCACTCTTGTCCATGCTCTAACTGAGCTCCTTTGATGATGAGGGATCCAAGATTCAGTCTCAGGGAAAACTAACCCAGGTAAGGAAAGGTGTTACTTGCTCTACTGGATTACCATCAAATAGGCATCTATGGCTATGATGTTGTTTTCCAAAGACCATAACTTTTGAATTTGATTTATTAATAATCAGACAATTACTATGACAGTAGGCACCACGTTTTCTTAATAGCCTATACAGTCCAACTTATGAGTATGATAATAATGCCTTATTATCAGCGTAAATCAAGGTGTTTCCATATATATTTATTACCATAGACATAGATCCTTCAGGATCCTTCATTAGTGCAGGTAAGTCATTAATGTCTAGACTGAATAACTATGCACCCTTCCCTTCCTCCTTGGTAAGTATTTTTCCTTCTTGTCATGGCTCCATTGAGCCCAAACCTCCCTCTCAAACAAGGGCTTGGAGAAAGAGCTTGGATCAGCGCCAACAGCCTGAGCTCCATTTTAAGGGCAATCAATTTCCCCCATAATTTTTCTCCTTTCACTGTGTCAAATGTTGCACTAACAACTATAAAGGAAACAAACCATGGTTTACCCAACTGACATACTTTGTGATTAGATATTTCAAGCCAAATCTGTTGTCATAGTATTCATTTAGGCATTATTTATTATACAAATTTATATAACTTTTAATTGTACCTAAAACCTTTTATTCCACTGCAAGTAATGCACTTTTCTTCTACTCTATCTCAAATTTACCTAAGAGGAATGTAGCATATATTGTAGCCCCAGTATCTATTAGAGTAACTGGTCTGTAATTGCTAGAGACCTTTTGATTCCATTTTATATATACATAGACCGTACTATTGCCAACTTCAATCCAATTAGATAAGGCAGATTGTAATGGAAGGCCTCAAAACTTGGGTATATTTTCAATAGTTGAATATTCAGTAGAATATCCTCTACAGGGACCTTATGGCTCTTCAGGCCTTTAATGGTGAATCTGAACGTGAACATAATTGACTAAAACATAGTTGACATGTTCACCAATATTCTGAAAAACAGCTCTTGAATTCGATGGAGAAGACATGGTTGGATCTGTTGCTCACCCCCTACCACCCAACTCACTTTACCAGATAGAAAATAACACACACAAACCTGTGGGACTTTGTAGGTACCTGCTAATGTTGACATTTGGATGGAGATGTCCCTTCCAGCTTGATCAAGAAGAGCCAGGAGGTTCTCCTTCCTTCCACAGCTGTAGTTGGGGACATTGGCTTCTCCAGTGGAGAGAATATCCAGCAAGGCATCTGAAGTGCCAAGTGTGCTCAAATAGTTGTCATGGATACTGCAGCCAAGTGTGAGATTGTGCAGGAGATGGAAATTCTTGTTGACCACTTGAATGGCAAACATTACTTTTAGGATATAATCATTAGCATAACTACTCCTATTGTAAAAACAATGTTCATGTTATAGTCAACAGTAACAACAAATACTTTTAAATATATAATCCTCTACAAGCCTACTGAGACTTAGGTCAACATTGATCCAAAACCAACAATCAGTTATAAAAATGTGGAAGTGGGCTGAGGAGAGGCAACTACAATTGTTTCAATCAATACTTAAACAAAGTTCAGTATTCAAGTGATGAACTCAGGATTGAATTGAGAAAGGAAAATAATCTGGATTTCCTTCAGGATTTTTTCCAACCCCCGTCTTTGGATTTCAGTCTTTTCCACAAAATAAGACTGAAAAGGGAAGCCATGGAAATCGAAATCATTCAGGAAATTAGACAGGTCATGTGTTATAAAAGTGAAAGAAGAAGAAGAGAAGGAGAGTGTTAGAATTGCAAATGGAGGGAATGAAACTCCATCACTATGAATGACTTACGAAGGAGATTGAATAGAAGGAGCCCTGTGGAAAGGCAACATTATATCTGGTACTACATTTTCTGTTCTGACTATACCAATGAGATGGTCTCCTGGCCTGTAATAGCTCCATGGATTGTTTCCATCCTGGTGCTCCAGACTCAGCGGGCATTTCTTTCTAAGCTTCCCAGAGACCGGATGGGACAAAAGCAGCATCAGAAGCAGAAGCAGGAGGTCCATAATTCGAGGCGTGAATCAATCCGCTTCCTGTTTCTAACACAAACAACAGGAACATTTGGAAAAATTCACAGACTCTGAGAAGTACCCATGGCTTTCCTGATATAAACAGAGAACCACTCAATTTCATCTGGAAAGGAGAGAAAGGTACAATTAAGTACAGAGCCTCTACCTGTCCCAAAACTTGTTCCCAGAGAGCTTGACCCAAGGAGTTTATCCTTTTCTCATACAAGATCCTTTGCTTGTGGCTTCAATCTGATGTCTGCATCAAAATAAAAAACAGGAGAAATAGCATCACAGGTCTCAAAGGCCCAGATGGTTATAATTACAGAGAGAAGCAACTTCTCCTCTTGGGATCCTAAACTTTTTCTGGGCTCCGTGTGCAGAGGTGAGACTGGAGAAAAACAAGTTAGTGGAAAAATTACAGATACACCCCTGGAGGCTCTGATCTGTGGTGGTTGTGGCCCTTCCTGTCAGGACAAGTCCAGAAAGTGACGTTGCGGAAGACAGTTCAACACCCAGGGAATTGACCTCTGCTGTCCTTCACCATGGTCTCTTGTCTCCAGAGATTGCTGGGAAGGTCACCCAGAGCTATGCAGTTTGGTGCCACTTGAAGTTAATGCCATTGAGCTCTCGTATTGCCTGTCTTCTAACGACAAGGAGGCCATCAGCAGCCTTGAACTCTGCCCAATGTCAAGAGTAGGCCCTGTTGGGGATTTTGTTTTATATCAGAATCCCATATATTGATCCTAATTGCAGCTGGTTTTAAAATTGCTTGTGCCTGAAGTGAAATTTCATTTGCCATCTTTTCTAGCAATATTAAATTTTGGATAAGAGCTCATTAGGAAGCAGAAAAGTGACAACGTGTGGACTATATCGTTGGGTAAAAAGGGAGAAAATTACAGAGTGGGCGGAAGTTTTTATTTTTCTTTTCCTCATTTCTGTTTCTCCATGTTCAGATAATATACTAAGATTCCTTATATTTTGACCTTTCTTAGTTTATTAAATAAAGAATGAACTGTAAGGTCTGCAGCTGAGATCTATCCATCATCCACCCATCCATTTATCTATCTATCTAATCATTCAATTCATTGGCCACCCATCTTATCACAGGGTAACTCTACAAAGATGGTGGTGAGGCCCACAGTGTGGTGGTTGGTGCAACCTGATTTTTAGCACCATGGTTTTTGGAGATCTGGTGAGGCTTCCTCTGTTGTGGGGATGTACTTGGGGGGGGGAGGGACCCCTTTGACTTTCCCATCTCTGAGGCTGAGACTTCCTATATCAAAAAACTTCCAAGGGGTTTGAAGGTGCTGAAACTTCCTAGGGAAGCTATGGAAATCAAAATTATTCAGGAAATTAGGCTGGTCCTGCAGTATAAAAGAAGGTGAAGGAAGGAAGGAAGGAAGGAAGGAAGGAAGGAAGGAAGGAAGGAAGGAAGGAAGGAAGGAAGGAAGGCCACCCAGGGAAGAACCTTCATTGCATACAAGGACAAAGCATTGGCTGCTTTCCGTCTGAGTGAGGATGGCAATTTGTTCAAACCTGCTTCCTCTTTAATGGACCAGTTAATGAAAGGGTAAAATATGGGCTCAATAAAACAACTGTGAGTTGGATTCAGAATGGTCGGAATGGCTGCACCTGGGGAATATTCCTAGATGGTTCAGCATTATTTTAGGGAGCAGAAGTCAGTGCAGCAGTTTCAGAGGCTTTGGTCTGGATCCTGGGCTTTGCAACATTTCCCCTAATGACAAGGGTTGAGGAGGTGATTAAGAGAGCTGGAGAAAACCAGAACAGTTTGGAAATGAAGGAGAAGATTTTAAAAATCTAGGAGGACATAAATAATGGATGCATATGGAGAGAAGGGAGGGAGGGAGGGAGGAAGGAAGGAAGGAAGGAAGGCAGGAAGAAGTTAGAACCACAAATGGAGGTAATACAACTTCATCACACTGAATACTTATGATGCAGACGGAATAGAAGGAGCCACATTGAAAGGCAACATTATATGCAATATTTCTTTTGCAGTGTTGAGTATACTAATCAGATGGTCTCCTGGCCTGTAACAGCTTCCTGGATTGTTTCCTGCCTGGTGCTCCTAACTCAGTGGGCATTTCCTTCTCAGCTTCCCAGAGTCTGTCTGAGACACCAGCAGCAACCAAGCAGAAGCAGGAGGTCCATAGTTCATAGGACTTTATTTATCCCCTTCCTAAACATAAACAGGGAGAGTTGCCAAAATTCAAAGCACTTTCTCAAGATGGAAATGTGACTTCCTTGAGATCAACGGAAACACTCAGCTTTATCTGGACAGGAGAAAAAGGTACAATCAAGAGAACACAGCCTCTGCTTGTCCCAAAACTTGTGTCACTTGCAGAGGAGATGCTGGAGAAAAGCGTGTTAGTGAAGAGTGACAGACACACCCCTGGGGACTCCGTTCTCTTGTGGTTGTGGTCCTTCCTGTCAGGACTTGCCCAGAAAGTACGGCTGGAGGAAGAGAGTTCAATAATACACAGAGCCTTGGGAGTACAGTGGTTTAAAGCACCCTGTTATTAAGACCAGCTGCCTGCAATTACTGCAGGTTCGAATCTCGCCAGGCTCAAGGTTGACTCAGCCTTCCATCCTTTCTAAGGTAGGTAAATTGAGGACCCAGTTTGTGGGGGCAATAAGCTGACTTTGTATAAATATACAAAAGTATGAAGGCTATTGCTTAACGCATTGTAAGCCTCCCTGAGTCTCCGGAGAAGGGCGGCATATAAATCAAATTTTTTTTAAAAAATAAATAACAAGGGAATTGACTCCTGCTTCCTTCAACACGGCCTCTCGACTTGAGAGACTGGTGCCACTCTAGATGGATGACGCTTAAGTCCAGTGCTGCCTGTCTTCTAACCACCAAGGAAGACATCAGGCCAGTGGTGAAATTCAAATTTTTTTACTACTGGTTCTGTGGGCGTGGTGTGGCTTGGTGGGTGTGGCAAGAGAAGGATACTGCAAAATCCCTCCCCACTCCTGGGGGAAGGATATTGCAAAATCCCCATTCCCTCCCCACTCTGGGGCCAGCCAGAAGTGGTATTTGCCGGTTCTCTGAACTACTCAAAATTTCCACTACCGGTTTTCCAGAACCTGTCAGAACCTGCTGGATTTCACCCCTGGTTTCCATACCAAAAACCCCCAAGTGGTTTGAAGGTGCAGCTGGTTATCTGCATCAATTGTGGGAGGAATTGTGTTTCTTAGCTGAGAGGGGGGAGCTGAAAGGACAGGAAGGTCCACCTTGACTGTGAGGAACAGAAGATGGCCAATATCCCAGGTCCGCTCAACATCCCTCAGATTCTACCAGACCCTGGGTGGCTCTGGGTTCAGGCTGTGGCTTTTGAAGGCCAGTTTGATGCATGACAAGGCTGCTCTCCTCCATGAGTGTCTCTGCCGTGTCTCACTGAAGCCTGGCTGGGCCCAGAGGGGAGGAAGCCCCTTCTCGGTCGGAAATGAGCCCACTTCAATTTCTGGGCTTGACCCCAGGTGAGAGTCCAGGAGAGAGGAGGAGGAGGAGGAGGAGGAAGAGGAGGAGGAGGAGGAGGAGGAGGAGGGGCTGTTGTCATCCAAGGCTGTCAGGAGGCTGCACATGGGCTGTGCTTTGTCTCAGGGCTGCAAGACTATTTCCCTGGCCTGGTGAAGTAGGTTGTGTGGATACGGTCTTTGCAGGAAGAAAAGGGCCCCCAGCTTATTCCAGTTATAAACTATGGCTCAGCTTCTCACCCCTGAATGAAGGTACTTCAGGGTCCCCCAACGCACTGACCTATTGGTCAACAGGTCCAACCTCAGAAAAGAAACCATGGTCAAAAGTTACAAGCATGAATACAGCTATTGGTGGAGCAATCAGGTTAAGTGGGTTGTGTGCATATCACCAGAGCCAGTTTGGTGGTGGTTGAAGCCCTGGGAGACCATGAGTTCTAGTCCTGTCTTGGTCACAAAGCCAGCTAGGTGACCCTGGCCAGCCACTCTCTCAAAGCCTTTTTTTTTTAAATTGGATTTATATACCGCCCTACTCCCGAAGGACTCAGGGCGGTGAACAGCCACAGAATAAAACACATAAATACAAAAAATTAAAATAGAATAAAAATGAATTAAATAATTTGGCTGAGTGTCAGCGTCCCAGCACTGACATATAATAAAGGGAGGAGAAGCCTAAACTTTTGCCTACTAAATCCCTTTGAAGATTCGGTCTCCTCGGAGATGGGAGAGGGGGGAGACATTCCTGTGACCTGACAAAGAAGGGATCAGGAAAGTGACTTGGAAGATAGCCAATGAGAAGCAGAGAATTGGGGACCGGAAAGGGAGGGATTGGGGGGCAAAGGTCAGTACTGACCGCAGAAGAGCCAGGATCAGATTGCTGTTCTCGAATAAAGAGAAAATTTCCTTAAAGATCGGCAGTTTGGAAATTCATTTATTTTGAGATAGCATCGAAACCTGACACTGAGACAAATTTAAAATACCCAATAATTTAAAAACAAATTAAAATTTACATTTAAAAGGGGAAAAGATTTAGGCCAGGCCAGCTTGATGAAATAAGAAAGTCTCGACAGAAGGTGTGCAGATCCGGGATCCTCCGTATCTCTGGGGGGAGCTCGTTCCAGATCGTAGGTGCCCCCACAGAGAAGGCTCTCCCCCTGGGGGCCGACAGCCGACATTGCTTGGCCAACGGTACCCGGAGGAGCCCCTCTCTATGGGAGCGTACTGGTCGGTGGAAGGCTATTGGTGGTAGTAGGCGGTCCCATAGATAACCAGGTCCTAAGCCATGGAGCGCTCTAAAGGTGATAACCAAAACCTTGAAGCGCACTCGGAAGACCACCGGGAGCCAGTGCAGCTCACGCAGGAGAGGTGATACATGGGAACCCCACATCGCTCCCATTACCACCCGTGTGGCTGCACTCTGCGCCAGTTGGAGCCTCCGAGTGCTCCTCAAGGGGAGCCCCATGTACAGAGCATTACAATAGTCCAGGCGGGAGGTGATGAGGGCATGAGTGACTGTGCGTAGGCAGTACCAATCT